TTTCATTGTTGTGCAGTCTTCGGCAAATTATCTAACCTCTTTGAGCTTCAATTTTCTCATCTATAAATGGGAACATAATAATAGGACTATTATTAGATGCTGAGAGGTTGAGATTTACTGGGTATCTCAGAGCTAACAGAGATAAATCTGGGGTAAACCTAGATCTTTGGGTTCTAAATCTGGATCTCCCTCTAATGATCAAATCATTTCTACCAGTTTCTCTTGGATTGTGCCTTGAGGTCTGCCCCCAACAATGCATTTACTTAAAGACAGTCCAGCTTCTGAGATACAGAAATTTGAACATGGTGGCCCCATCAAACTAGAGATGAGAGATCTTCTGGAAGGCAGCTGGAGGGAGGGTGGGGAGCAGGCAGAGTGGCTTGAATGACTTTATTGTCTCAGTCCTAGAAGGTTTGTAAAAATATTTACTTTTTGGTTCCATACCAGTCTCAGTCTACCTAAATGGGAAACTCTGGTGGTGGAGCCAGGCATACTCATTCTTGAACAGATCCACAGGTAATTCTGAGGTACCACCTTGACTGAGAAGCACTACCCTTTTCTAGACAAAAACCACTCCAGAACCTATCAGTGCTCACAAATTAGGTCCCAAACCAATTTATCTTTGATTTTTCCTGTTTCATCGAAAACCAGTTTAGGTACTGGGTGGGTCATGGGAGTAAGCTTCTAAAAAGCCACAGGGGAAGGACTGCATCTCTGAGACTAAGAGGCGGGCCTAGCCTCACTTCCTCTCTCTCCTCAAATGGGCTTCCTGTCGTTACAGTGTGATCATATTTATTCTCCCTTCACTTCTCCTTTTACACAAATAACCCCGGACATCCTTATTACCAGCCCTGTTGCAGCCACCTCAGGGATAATCACCAGTCCTGCCCAAAGCATTTGGGGAAAGTGCCTACAAAAGGTAAGATTGGTGACATTTTAATTGAGTTTGAGAGCAAAGACCTGAACCATACACATTATGTGGGATTGGGTATCTTCTTAGGGGTCTCCATATATATATATATATAGATAGATAGATAGATAGAGAGATATAGATATAGATATAGATATAGATATAGATATAGATATAGATATAGATATAGATATATATGCTCTCTAGTAACCCTAAAATTTCCTGCAACTTTAATTTCACAAATGGTTAGTGCGGAGAAAGTAAAAAGATCAGTCAGATCATAGTAACCCTCAAACACAATCAGGCCAGAAGGACTTTTAATTAATAGGTTCTTATTATCTGTTATCTCTTTGGGTCAGGGCATTCATGTGCTTAAATTGCTTTAGAACTTAAATTTCTGTGTGTAGTAATTTCTTTTACCTAAAATCTTCTGTATGAGATGAAGCTGGGGAGATTTCATAAATGCTCTGGTCTTCAGAAGATGGGTCTTACGCTTTTAAAGTAAGGAGAAAACCAACAGCTGGAACCATTTAGAAAGACAGCTAGGACATGCAATTCTTCACTTAAGAAATTTTCAAAAGTCAAGTTAGTTACTCCCGCTGTGGTTCCTCAGAGCCATTAAGTAGAATAACAGCTACAAATGACAACACCCAGTTTAGCCAGGAACCCAGAACATGTCCACTACATGTATTTTGAAAAGTGAAAACTCTAAGAGGTGCTTAGATTGATTGGTTTCAAAGGGCAGGGATCCCCAGGGTTCCTCCCAAAAAAACTTATCTTTAGTCTACAAATCATAAATACTGATAAATATAATGACATGTACCAACCAACAAAACTTGATATTGTTGATTTCTAATTCATTGCCCATAACTAATAATTGAGGGCTCATGGACTCTGAAAGTTATAGCAAATCTTTGATCCTTGCATTCTGTGATCACCATAGTAGTTACTGGAGGTCAGCTCACCACAGAAAACTCAGAGCTTTTTCCTTCCAAAACCTGCAAAAGTCTCAACTGATTGTGCCCTGGAGNTGGGGCCAGGCACTGTGCTTTGGAGATGCTGGTGAGGAGGGAGAGTGGCAGGGTAGAAAGAAGATATTTGTCTAACAAATAGTACTGCTCTTAAGGAACTCCCAGGCAGATAAGAGATATCAGATGTGTATGCAAGTGCTTTAGAAGAGAATTGAGCAAAAGCAGAATCTTAGCTGCTGCTAAACAAAGTTTTGCTTTCTCAATCTCCATGAGAATCTGAAGTTTTGTAATTGTGGTTGAACTGGAGTAGAGACTGAGCTGAAACATGACTTCCTGTGATGTTTCCTGTGTGGGCCAGTTAAGAGTATTTAGCTTTAAATGAAAGGATTGGACACCTTTACACCCATGGGTAATGATTCAAAGCCCATTCCATCACAGTTACTACCTCTTAAGCAAAACCACCTTTGGCAATTAATGAGAAGCACAAATTGGAAAGGTCAAATTTTCTTGGTCTTTACTTTATGTCATCAGGTTGACCTCTAACTACCCAGAGGGCTTCAGACTAGACCTGAGGCCTGTTCCTCTGATTCACTCCCACCCTACCATATATCAGCATCTAGGAATTGTGCCACAGTGCTGGAGACACAAGGATAATTGCTGTGGTTCTTAATGTCAAAGCATTTCTAGAGTCTAGTGTAGGGGACAGACACAGCAATACACAAATACAATTCAAGGTAATCTTTTCTATAATGGAGGGAGAATTAGCACAAATGTAGGAGTTGCTGAGGAGTGTGCCAAGGACTCCCTTGGAGCCCTACACTCCATGTTAGAATGTTGCTACTTAAAGAGAATTTAGAGATTATTTGGGCTGAAGTAGAATGTCCAATTCATAGTGAGAGCCTACTAAATATTAGATATTATTATAACATTTCAATCTTCTTATTTTTCAGGTAAGGTGACTTGTCCAAAGTCATAAAATTACTTAGCTAGTAATCCCTGCTTAGGTTGATTTCAAAGATGGAGTTTTCTATGAGGACTGGAGGTAATGGCATTCCAGGCAGGGCACAGTATAAGCAAACTCAAAGAAGTATAAACCCCTAGGCATTCTATCCTTACTGTTAGAAATGACAGTAAGCAATTGAGACTCTAATAGAACAAGCCATGGTTGCTGGACCACAGAAAGTGATAATCTTTTCTCCTACTTGGTTTTGGAATTCCAGCACCTGAAAGTAAAAGACGAGATCAACAAAACATCTGAGTCCTAAGCTTAGCCCTGGACAGGGCCATGCCTGAGAAGTCCTCATGACAGAAATTATGAAATACGGCTTGAAATGAGGGTGAAGAAGCCTATTTCTTTCCCCTCAATCTAGAGTTTCTCCTAGATTAGAGAGAAGGGTGGAGCTTTTTGCAAAACTACAGCCACTCTCTTTCTGTCAGCTTTGTTCCAGGAAATGCTATGTTGATTTAGTTACAGTGGTTTGGTTTATGTTCCAATATGAGTCAGCCCATAGCACTTCCTGTACTGAGTGAGCATCCAGTGTGTGCAGATCACCACGGACCTAGAGACTGGGCACCTGCCCTCAGGGAGCTGCAGGACCCAGCTGCCATTGCAGGTAGAGAGCACTTACGCAAAGTAACACAGAGAAATTAGATTGCTGTGCGGAGCAGGCCTCCTGGGGCTGCTGGGGCGGAGGAGGAGGAAATTGCAGCTGGAGTTCGGGAAGGCTGTCTGAAAGTAGGCTTTGATAAAGAGGAGGATAATGCATTTTCAAGGCCAGTGGGTGGGCACTCAAAGTGGAAGCCATGGATCTCTGGGCTGGGGTATTGAGACAAGTTTTCTATGCATTCATTTCCCATTTCACCAGCACACAGTAGAGTTCCTATCCAAGCAATAGCATCAATGAATCAAAGCTATGGCCAGGAATTGTTGTAAAAGAAAAGATGTCACAAGGATACATTTTTATAATCATTTAAAATAAGAGCACTATATGAAAGTGCTAGAATATTGCTACTTAAAAGGAATTTAGAAATTGTTTAGGTTCAAATAAGGTGTCCAACTCATAGTAAGAGCCCAATAAATGTTAGCTACAATTATAATATTTCAATCTGCTTATTTTTTAGGTAAGGTGACTTGTCCAAAGTCATAAAATTCCTTAGCTGGTAATTCTTGATTGTCTGTGGATGCTCTTTCCTCCATACTACATTACAATCCCTTTTCTTACAGACTTCTTATTAAATAGGCATCATTAGACTATGTTCTTTGTTTACACAAAGAAATTTCTAGTGCATTTTAACATAAGCAAACATAAAAATACAGCTTGATTATAAATTTAGTCAATCTAAAATCAATATGCCAGCATATCAAATACTTAATATATATTTAATATGTCAAACTTTTGTTTGGTATTTTATATTTCAGGAGACCTGGATTGAAGAATGGGATGAGAAATGATTTTGATACCTCACATCTTTTAAAATTTATTCAGATAATTCATATAAACTTATGTCTTAATATTTACTCTGTATCAGGACCAAATAGAGGCCTTAAAGAATTATCCCATGGTTTGTTTTTCTAAAAGTAGCTATTGTAGACTCTCAATATCATACCATCAAGGACTTAAGTTGTAATGATTTTGAGATCAGAATCCTTTAGATAATTTACTCATATTCAACTTTCTCTCTCTCTTTTTTTATTTTGACAATTCAGACTTACAGAGAAGTCACAAAAATATTATCAAGAATTTCTGGACCTGCTTCACCCAGATTTCCTAAATATTAACATTTTACCACAATTCCTTTATCCTTCCCTGGCTTTCTTATTTGAAAGTAACTTCTGGCATGACATCTTTTCCTACTAAGTGCTTTTCCAAAAACAAAATCATTCTCTTACATAACCACTTTACAATGATCAAATTCAGGAATTAACATAATGCAATACTATTAACAATCAAAAGGTTTTATTCAGATTCCACCAATTGCTTCGTTATTTTTTTTATAGCAAAAGGAAATCTCTGATAATGCATTGCTTTTAACATGTCTCTTGAGTCTCCCTGTGTGTGGAACAGATGCTGAGTCTTTCTTTGTCTTTCATGGCATTGATATTCTTGAAGAGCACAAGGAAGTTTTTTTCTAGAATATCTCTATTTGGGTTTGTCTGACATTTCCTCATGACTAGATTTAGGTTATTCAAACTTTTCATAGAAATACCAAAGAAGTGGCATTCGTTACCCTGCAGAAATCTTTGCTCACGCTGGGCAGAGCTTACCTGTACACACCATGGGCAGGTCTCTAGAATAGGGATACTCCACAGCAAAATGCAACATAATTTTAGGGTAAGGAAAGAGATTCTCTAGTCTACTGACTCTGTAACAGCTGTTTTCTGAAACTGTTCCTGATATGGATATTGGCCTTGTTATCAAGGTCCCATCTCAGCTTGGTTGTTAGTAGCAGCTGTGATTTTTCTGTCGGTGGAATTATATTGTCGGCTCCCTAAAGGAAGGAAATATGCCTCCAAGATCATCTGGGTTTGTTTTTCCTCATTTTTTGTCTCCTCTCTGCTTCTTCCTTCTGTCTTTCTTCTATAAGTCACCAGTTCCTCTTCCCTGAGAGCAGCCTCAAAGGAAAAACTTTTCACCAGGCCGCAGTTTCTGGGATGAGTAAGATGACAGACACATTCCTTTGACAGACACACATGGAGAGATGAGAACACACTAATGCACAATGATAGATTACCACAGTGATGGTTTGGTTTGGTTTTGGTTTGGTTCAGTATTGCCTCTCCCCTTACAATTGCTTATTACTCCCTCAAAGAGACACATGCATGTGCCATCCCTCCTCAGTCACTGCTCACAGGAGTTCAAACTGTGGAAGATGCAAGGATTCCTTCTGGAGGCTCATTACATTGCAGGGAGAGAGTTGAGTTGGGAAATGTAAGGCACAAAACTGGAACTGAAACAAGAGAGGTCACGTTTCTGATATGTTGCACTGCCAGTAGACCTGTCTGATTCCATTGCCAGTGTTTTTCAAACTGGGTTCCAA